CCAGAAACGAGTATGCACAGATAAGGAGGGAGGCCCAGCGACAGTACGAAAACGACATAGCATCGAAAGTCAAGTCTGACCCGAAACTGCTGTATAGCCACATTAGGAGAGGACAACAAAGACCAGGTGAACAGGCTGAGGAAAGGTGGTGAACTCACAAGAAACGATCAAGAGGTATGGGAGGAGCTCAACACGAGATTTAAGGAAGTATTTACAGTGGAGACAGGAAGGACTCTAGGAAGACAGAACAGAGGGGGACACCAACAAGGAATATACCAACAAGTATTGGATGACATACACACAGCTGAGACGGAGGTGAAGCTGCTAAGGTACCTTGATACCTCAAAGGCAATGGGACCAGATATCTCCCCATGGGTCCTTTGAGAGGGAGCAGAAACTCTGTATGTGCCACTAACCACAATCTTCAACACATCCCTTGAAACTGGGCAAATGTAATTCCCATTTTTAAAAAAGGAGACAGAAGACGAGCAGGGTCCCACAGGGGTCAGTCCTAGGACCAGTACTACTTTTAGTATATGTGAATGACATGATGGAAAGGATAGACTCAGAAGTGTCCTTGTTTGCAGATGATGTGACGTTAAATGAGGAGGATTAAATCAAATAAGGATCAGGCAGGACTTCGAAGAGACCTGGACAGGCTGGACACCTGGTCTAGCAACTGGCTTCTCGAATTTAACCCCGCCAAATACAAAGTCATGAAGATAGGGGAAGGGCAAAGAAGACTGCAGACAGAGTATAGGATAGGTGGCCAAAGACTGCAAACCTCGCTCGAGGAGAAAGATCTTGGGGTGAGTATAACACCGAGCACGTCTCCGAAAGCACACATCAACCAGATAACTGCTGCAGCATATGGGTATCTGGCAAACCTGAGAATAGCGTTCCGATACCTTAATAAGGAATCGTTCAAGACACTGTACACAGTGTACGTCAGGCCCATACTGGAACCCACACCTGGTCAAGAAATTAGAGAAAGTGCAAAGGTTTGCGACAAGGTTAGTTCCAGAGCTAAGGGTAATGTCCTACGAAGAAAGGTTAAGAGAAATCGGCCTGAGGACACTGGGGGACAGGAGGGTTAGGGGAGACATGATAACGACGTACAAAATACTGCGTGGAATAGACAAGATGGACAGAGACAGGACGTTCCAGAGAGAGGACACAGAAACAAGGGGTCACACTTGGAAGTTGAAGACTCAGATGAGTCAAAGGGATGTTAGGAACTATTTCTTCAGTCATAGAGTAGTCAGGAAGTGGAATAGTCTAGCAAGTGATGTAGTGGAGGCATGAACCATACATAGCTTTAAGACTAGGTATGATAAAGCTCATGGAGCAGGGAGAGAGGACCTAGTAGCGTTCAGTGAAGGGGCGGGGCCAGGAGCTGAGTCTCGACCCCTGCAACCACAATTAGGTGAGTACACACACACACACACACACACACACATATATTATATATGTTTGTGTGTGTGTGTGTGTGTGTGTGTGTGTGTGTGTGTGTCGTGCCGAATTGATAAAACTTGCGATTGTGGCTTAAATATCAATGCTCTTCTTGCCGAATAAGACAAGCGAAAATTTGTGTATTCAATAATTTCGCAAAAATCATTCTGAACCTAACGATAAAAAATATTTTTCAGTGTGTTTGTTTATTATTAAATTATTGTAAATTTATCTAAAATATATTTAGTTGGATTAGGCTAAATTAAATTGCGCTTGGTATAATAAGGTCAGGTAAGTTTTCCAAGGTTCTTTTGGTACAAAATTACTAATTTTTACATTAACATAAATGAAAAAAAAAATATTTTTAAACGTATAAGAGATAATTTTAGAAAGGACTTAATTTTAAATGAGTACTTGCTAATTCACCCGTTTTACCTATTCGGCACGTATATATATATATATATATATATAATATATTATATATATATATATATATATATATATATATATATATATATATATATATAATACGTAACATTTGTCGTTGTGTGTGCGTGTGTACTCGCCTATATGTGGTTGCAGGGTCGAGTCTCAGTTCTTGGCCCCGCCTTTTCACTGGTTGCTTATTTGTATGTGTGTGTGTGTTACCAGCTGTGCGGCAAGAACAAACAGAGACATGTTTGTTTGTTGATTTTGCTTCAGCTAACTGTGTTTACTGGGGGGGGTGAAGCGGGTAAAGCCCCAGATCCTGCCTCTGAAGTTCACTTCCCACACACTGAAGACGCTGTTCCCGGTATATTTTTGTTGAATGTTTAGTTTCCATTTGTGTCTCGTCGTTATAGTCCCACCACATTGTCCACTATGTTTAAATCTCGAGTATCCTGTATGTTATGATCATGTCCCCCTCGTGAGTTTTAATTCTTCAATCTGTCCTCATCGCAACCTGTTCTCTTACCACGAGTGATAAGCATGCAGATTTGAACGTTGCCTGAGACTGTTCAGGCACCGTGTTGCCAGACGTGTCACTTCCACTTTTTTTTTGTATATTTTATTTTGCAAAGAAAATAGCATTTGAAAGTTGATATGGAACGCTCAGAAATTGACGCGCTCTGGAACTGTGTAAGAAAAATGGCGTAGAAAATGAGGGTAGGTTTTATCCAACTTTTTACATGTTTAAGGGACAGTGGGTACCGTGCTGTGGCGTATGTTCTAAAAATAAAACTTTGCGGTATTCCTGAAGGCCCTTTTTATAATGTCTAACTTTGTAAAAAAAAAAAAAACGGTAAAGTAATCGCGCGCGCCATCCGTGTGTGGGGCTGATGAGTGTTTGAGTAGGTTCTGGTGGGGATGTGTTTGTGGGGAGGGGTGAGTTCTGGAGTGGGTGTGGTGTGCGTGTGTGCAGAAATGTTTGCGTGGGTATGGCTAATATTGATGGATAGCGTGCAGATGTGCGTGGTGTGACGGCACGAGTTGCGTCTAACCTTCCTTGACCTGACTAGGTCACGGAACCTGTGGCCTCCCCCCTTCCCCGCCGAAAACCGCCATTGACCCAGACAACCATGTGGGCTCCACCAGGCACCCACGCACCAATACACACACGCACACTACCATGTACACCCATGTACACACGCCCACACAACCTCACACACACCACCACCAAGTATACACGCCAACACCATGTACACACACACCAACACCATGTACACACACCAACACCATGTACACACACACCAACACCATGTACAACACCAACACCATGTACACACACACCAACACCATGTACACACACACACACACACACACACACACACACACACACACACACACACACACACACACACACACACACACACACACACACACACACTAGTCTTGCAACAAGACTAGTCCCGGAACTGAGGGGTTTGTCCTACGAGGAGACGTTAAGGGAACTCAACCTGACAACACTGGAAGACAGGAGGGATAGGGAGGGGGGTATGATAACGACATACAAAATACTGCGAGGAATTGACAAAGTGGACAGAGACAGGATGTTCCAGAGATTGGACACAGAAACAAAGGGTCACAGTTGGAAGTTGAGAACTCAGATGAGTCACAGGGATGTTAGGAAGTATTTCTTCAACCATAGAGTTGTCAGGAAGTGGAACAATCTGGAGAGTGATGTAGTGGAGGCAGGATCCATACATAGCTTTAAGACGAGGTATGATAAAACTCATGGAACAGGGAGAGAGTGGAACAAGTAGCGACCAGTGAAGAGGTGGGGTTAGGAGCTATGTATACACACACACAAAAAAAAAAACACCTTTGTATTTCAAATATAATCGTTCATTAATGGAAACTTTCATTAGAATGCTCATAACATGAATAATAATAATAACAGTATACATAAAATATATTTTTTGTAGTAAAATCAAGTAGTGTAAATACAGTGTGAATGTTGTGAAATATGGACTCTCTCTCCATGTCTCAGTCAGACTGAGGGAAGCTACAGTAACACACTGCGCTAAAATACACACATAATCTTGAAGACCGCAGAGATTTCCCTATCTTGCTCAAACACCAGGCCACGGTGCCCTGTGGCCTGGTGGCTAAAGCTCTCGCTTCACACGGCGAGGGTCTGCGTTCGATTCCCAGCGCGGGTACAGACATTGGGCGTGTTTCTTTACACCGGTTGTCTATGTTAACCCATCAGTAAAATGGGTACCTGGGTGTTAGTCGACTGGTGTGGGTCGCATCCTGGGACAAAACCGACCTAATTTACCCTGAATGCTCAGCATAACAAAGGGCTTTCTATATAGTAGTATGCCATTGATGTCACGTAGGCCTGTATACCTTGTACATGTACTTGTAGTAAATAAAGATATATTGGAGGAGTAGTGGAGTAGTCTTGATGCTGGTGAAGCTCCCTTGAACTAGATCCGATTATCTCCTATTTCTCAGGCGATGTGTAACCCCAGTTGGTTTACCACTCTCCCATGACTATTTTTTCCTTGTAAAACTTAACACAGATCAGGAGATTCGGGACGTTTCATTTACTTCATATGAAACACTAAACCCGTGTGGGTCATTCTTTTCAAGGAATGGTGGGGGTTCGATCCTCCGTCCGCTGTCATGAGGGTTCGGCTAGGATAACGTTACAGTGGGAGAAGTGACAGGTCAGTGTGGACCAATGTTGAGGCCACGTTCGTGAGAACAAGTGATAACTGGCCACGGGGAAGATAATCCCTAGACCCGCTACCGTATAACACATGACTAAAATAAGACCGGGAACAATAACACTTAGAAGTTCAAGTTAAGAAAAATCTGAATCCAAGGCACAAATCCTCATTCTCACCCCCCCCCTCTCTCTCTCTCTCCCCCCACACACACGAAGAGGTAAGCTAATGTGTACTTTATATCATGTTTTCTGCTGTCATAATTATAACATGGGAACCTGTGAGAACATTAAGATACATTTGAAGAAATTAAAAAAAGTAAGATATCGCTTAATTAGTTACATTAAAACTTATGTATTCAAACATCAATTAGTAAATCAGTGTGTAACTGACCTGGCAGTGCCAAGGAGAGGAGAGAGGCTGGGCGGGTCATCTTGGGTCACACTTACAACTCAGGGCTTGTACTGGAGAAATGCTTTGTACTCTTGTTGTGTCCTGTGCTCCGTCACCACAATCGCCACTCACTAGTTAGTCCACTTTTAAATTAGATCACTGATCGCACTCAGTTCCTCATTTCCTCACTATAGCTCTTCTCACCATCGCTCGTAGCCTTAAGCGGGTAATTCGAGTGATTTTCGCTCGGTAAGTCTGTGCCATTTATTTATACAACACAAAGTTTATTTTATATCGCGGTGTTTATAGATGTAATTTATTGTTTATCGCGTCCACGATTAGATGCAGCTACGACAGTGACGTCACTTACAATAAGTTGTAACAAATACTGTTGTTTTGTCCTTGGTGCGCGTAGTTAACGGTGTTTGGGTGAGTATCAACAAGTGTGTGTTCACGTGAGGTGGTTACTCAGGTATAGTAAGCAGCAGCTCCACATATACACCTCCACTCGCTGTGGTGTCCACCTCGGGACTGTCGCCTCTCTCTCTACCTCCTCTGCTAAGGACCGAACCCATTAGGTCCTACACACGGATGGGTGAAAATACTACCAGGAAGGAGAAACTTTGTTCATCCCTCAGAGAGCAATATTATCTTACTAAATATGCCAAAGGGTATCACTGTAATGTTCGAAATCTGTGTTGCTGTAAAATATATTTGTATATTAAGAAACAACATGAAAATTTTTTAGTAAATATTATAGCAAATGCCACGAGGTGCGAAAGTGTCTGAAACGAAACGAAATGTTTTGGTATCTTCAGTTTGCTATCGTGCCTGGGATGACTCACTGGGCGGAGGTTCCAGGAATTTCCTGTGTCTCACTACCGCGTTTTCTGTTGGCCGGAGGGAGAAGTGACGTCACGGGTGCAGGTAGATAGGGAGAGGGCGGGGATTCTCTAAGCTGCATTCCCCTGGCTGTTGCTGGGACACCTGCTGTGTCCTGGGATCTCTGTTTTTACTAACGTCCTTCGTAATCGATTCTCCCCAGCTCGTGTGATGACCTTTAAATATTTTCCTTCTATATACAGTGACCTTTGAACAACATGGGTCCACTTATACGCAGATTTTTTTCAATTAATTTTTTGGGAAAATTTCCGACCGAGAAAAAATTAGGTGAGTCATGAATGAATAAAATATATGTAGATACTAATTATTTTATTTTTACCACAAAATATATTATAAAAAATTAAAATTTATCAAAATTTAAGCACACAGACAATTACAGATCGTACATGTTCCTTTCGCAGTCGAGAGAAATGTAAACAAACGTCAAGATGGAAAAATATAATAATAATAATAATAATAATAATTTGAACCACCATGGTATCTGTAGAATCGATGGTTGAGTAGTTTTGACAACGTGTACATTGTCTTGTCTCATGTAATCTGTAAATACCTTTGTAACTTGTCATGATTGTGACCAGACTTACCTGGAGTTCATTACCTTTGTAAATTGTGAGTTCATTACCTTTGTAAATTGTGAGTTCATTACCTTTGTAAATTGTGAGTTCATTACCTCTGTAACTTGCTCTATCAAAACTTTGGAGTCCAGTCCCTGGACCAATTATGTACCTCTGTAATCTTTTGACTACCGCCCACAGGATGGGTATGGGGTGCATAATAAACATATTAAACTAACTCATGGAGTGGGACAATGTGACACGGGATCAAATCTCGGCCAGCCGCAGTTTCGTGGTTTCATTACTATATAAACTGCTTGTGGAGGCTGGTATTTAAACGGGAGATGGTTGAAATTAACCTTGAGCTTACCACTACCACGAGTGTCCTCGGATCACCAACAACAACTAGTTCTGCTGGGTGTGTGATCTCTGTAGGATCGTTGGTTGAGTGGCTAAGTAAGACGATGCGAACATTGTTCTGTCTCTTGAGGCGGGAGAATGTGTTACAGGATCAAATCCCGGCTGGCCGCAGTCTGGTAAATAATAATATTTCAGATCGTAGATCTTCCATTCGCAATCGAGAAAAATGTAAACAAACATAAAAATTAAATCATAAGTAAATATAAATTTCTTTTTCACATTATCTTTTCATTTTTGATGTCGAGTGTTAGTAATAACAACTATAGTGTTTTGTATCATATTAGACAATATTGATGTAGCTACTGACAGACAGATGATTCATCTTGTAAACAGAGGACATAAATTTACTATATCGGTAAATTACAGTACAGTATTGTAAATGTATTTTCTCTTATGATTTTCTTAACATTTTCTCCTCTCTAGTTTATTGTAAGAATGCGGTATACTTAGAGAGGGTTTCGGGGGTCAACGCCCCCGCGGCCCGGTCTGAGACCAGGCCTCGTGGTGGATCAGGGTCTGATCGAGCAGGCTGTTACTACTGACCGCACGCAAACCAACGTACGAACCACAGCCCGGCTGGTCAGGTACTGACTTTAGGTGCCTGTCCAGCGCCTTCTTGAAGACAGCCAGAGGTCTATGGGTAATCTCCCTTATGTATGCTGGGAGGCAGTTGAACAGTCTTGGGCCCCTGATACTTATTGTGTTGTCTCTCAGTGTACTTGTGGTACCCCTGATTTTCACTTGGGAAATGTTGCATCTCCTGCCGAGTCTTTTGCTTTCGTAGGGAGTGATTTTCGTGTGCAAGTTTGGTACTAATTCCTCTAGGATTTTCTGTGTGTATATCATGTATCTTTCTCGCTTTCGTTCCAGGGAATACAAATCAAGGGACTTCAACCGTTCCCAGTAATTTAGGTGCTTGATCGTATTTATGTGTGTCGTGAAAGTTCTCTGTACACTCTCCAGGTCAGCAATTTCACCTGCCTTGAAGGGGGCAGTTAGTGTACAGCAACATATAATATATATTCAAAATATTTGTTAATCAACTATTAATGTTATTGGTAAGGCTTCCGGTCAACACTAGTCTATTAGTAGTTATTTTTTTTTTTTTTTGCTGAGTCAAAAGTTGTACGCGGATTTTCAACTGTGCGGGGGTCGGCGCCCCTAAACCTCCCGTTGTTCAGCAGGATTCGAACTTGTACACAATACTTTCGCCACTCAGCCAAATCCCAGATAAGTATAGGCGCCTAGCGGAAGCTAGACGGTCACTCCCATACCCCGGGACACCGGGCTAGTGTTAAGTTTTATCATCTGTATGTCGAAGGATTTGATGAAATAACTTATCACTAGCCTGGTGTCCAGGGGTATGGGGTATGCCCGTCTAGCTTCGGCTAGGTGCCCATACTTATCTGGGATCTGGCTGAGTGGCAAAAGTGCTGTGCATATATATATATATATATATATATATATATATATATATATATATATTATATTATATATATATATATATATATATATATATATATATATATGTCGTGCCGAATAGGTAAAATTGGTCAATTAGCAAGAACTCACTTAAAATTAAGTCCTTTCTAAAATTTTCTCTTTTACTTTTAAAGATATATTTCTTTCATTTATGTTAATGTAAAAATTAATAATTTTGTACCAAAAGAACCTTAGAAAACTTACCTAACTTTATTATAACAAGCTCAATTTAATTTAGCCTAATCCAGCTAAATATATTTTAGATAAGTTTACAGTAATTTAATAATAAATAAACACTGAAATATATTTTTTTTCGTTAGGTTCAGAATGATTTTTGCGAAATTATTGCATACACAAATTTTCGCTTGCCTTATTCGGCAAGAAGAGCTTTGCTATTTAAGTCAAAATCGCAAGTTTTACCTATTCGGCACGACATGTACGTACATACATATAGGTGAGTACACACAAATACATACATTAAACACCACCTGCGTGCATTTGCCGAGGCACCCGCACGATGTAAACAAAAATGATGAAAAAAGTAGTAATGTTTGGTACAAACTGTATAGCTGAGGTGAACTGGTACACCCAAGTTTAGACATGACAGTCCGCAGCAACTCTTCAACGTCTTGCAAAAAGCCATTATCTGGGATGGTGGGACGAGTGATTCTCATCAAGTTCTGTACTTGGGAACGCTATGCACGGCCTGGAAAACCAGTGTCTGCCGCCTTCGAATATAGTGACTTGCTTTTTGTCTCTGGACTTGATTTGTTGAAGAGAACATAGGAATGTATTGTGAAGACGTTTTCTCCATCAAGGGCTTTTATCAGTTCACCAGATGATCATGAATAGTATATACAGTACCGACAAGATTCAAGACTACGGTGATCTTCACCAACTCGTAGGCTGGGGGACTGTTTACCTCATCTTTGGTATACAATTCTAGATTCTTCACATTATGTCCTTGTATTGATAAAGTCACTGGTTGCCGAAACATCTACAAATAAAGATACCCAGGGGTTGCATGTGTCTAATTCTTAACAAATAAATAACAAAAAAAAGGCACAATACCGTGACCGGAACGATACACAAATAACCCGTACATAGAAGAGAGGAGCTTACGGTCCAAGTCGGACCGAAACGTCGTCGTAAGCTCCTCTCTTCTATGTGCGGGTTATTTGTGTGTCTAATTCTTCACCAGATGAAATGCTGAGTCCCTGGTGGGCGAAACATCATTACAATAATATGCTATAACCTGCATCGTGTGTGTTATTTGCACGGGTCAAGAACCACTCTTCTTACAGATACCAAGTGGTCCATAAATTACACCTCGTCTCATGTGTTTATCACCCAAATGTCCGTTCCTTCTGAAATAATGGACAGATCTGCCGGAGATTTACAGTGAGCACGTCAGGAGTGTTATGTTGTCCATACTGAAAGACTGCCAAGTTTTATTTTGGTGGGATGGAGAACAAGTAGTCTTGGTGGGATGAAGAACAAGTAGTCTTGGTGGGATGGAGAAGAAGTAAGTTATTTTTGGTGAGATGGAAAACAACGCTTCTAGATGTTCTATGTAAAGTTTAGTTGTGGTGGGATGGAATTTATGGATACGACGACCTTGACTTGGGTCTCCGCAATAATGGAGAGAATATGTTATTGTGCCATCTTGGCCAACCCACACACCTCCCTCACTCCCTCCCACGCTTATCTTTCCCACTACATACACAAGTCTTTCCACACCCACCACCATCCCCACACATACCTCTGCACATACCTCCACATACACTCCTACCCAGGTAAGTACATGCCCCCCCCCACAAACACCCAAGAGGCGGTACCAGGAGCTAAGACACGACTGCTTCAGCCACGTATAGGTGAAACAAACAAACACACATACACTAGAGGATAGGGGAGAGGGACATAACGACGTATAAATTACTTAAGGGAATTGACAAGGTGGACAGTGACAGTATGTTTTAGAAATGGGACTCAGCAACAAGGGTGACGTCACATCTGGAAGTTAAAAAATCAGATGAGTCACACGGATGTTAGGAAGTATTTCTTCAGTCATAGAGTTGTCAGGAAGTGGAACAATCTCGAGAGTGATGTAGTGGAAGCAGGATCCATACATAGGTTTAACAAGAGGTACGATGAAGCTCTTGGAGAAGGAAGAGAGAGTGGACCTGTAGCGACCAGCGG